TTATCAAACCTTTTAGGAACATCATACATTTTGCAGCAGAATCCAGAGAGCAGGAAATTGCCTGGGCTAGGGTCATACTCTCAGCTATTCCTGATTGTTGAGTGACCTTCAGGATGTTACTATATCTCTCTAATGGAGAGACCATATTCTAGGGAGGTTAATATCTAGCCTACTCCTAAAATTGTAAGAAAAGTCAAGTAATATGGGTGAAATTCCCTGAGATCTTCAAAATTCTGCTTAACACCAAAATATTTCAGTTGTCATTGAAGCCACCAATGTTTTGTGAATGCAGTGTGTCCCCAAGAGGCAATGCCACTCTCCCAGAAGAGAGTGTCATAGGTCAAACTGACATGGGGTTGGCATCCTAGAACTGGAGAGAAAGGCTGGCAGGTGGTTACACCTCAGGTGTGCAGGCTGCCGCCACCTGGACTTCTCAGTAGAGAGCAGACTCTGCAGTCAGTGAGGGCTGATTCCCTCTGAGCACCTTTCCCATTTTCTACTCCAATCTCGACTTCCCCCATTCAGAGGATCTGTAATTTCACGGATGCCTTCTGCTTCCTTGCCCGTAGCCACCTTCCTTGATGCCCGCTCTCTCACCACACACCCAGGTTTGGTCTTCTGACCCCTCACTGTGCTTACCTGAGAAGGCGTTGTGCAGAGAAGATGATGGGGAAGCCTAGAGAATGAGAGATAGGTGGGAACAGTGCTCAGAAAAGTATTCGTTGTCCTCTCTGCAGCCCAGGAAAAGCCTAGATAGAATGAGAAAGAATCAGCAGAATAAATGGGTTCTTATTGAGCTCCCAATATAGAGGTCACTATTCAGAATTGGGAGCGCTAAGCCCATTAGGATATCTTTTACTTGAACTTTGGGCAGAGTCTCTGCATCTGTTAACCTAACAGTATCTTTCTTCCTATTTCTCTCTCTGTTCACTCCCCTCCCCACACCCCCCATGATGGTAAAGTGTCAGTCCTGGTGCATGAGAAGGAGCTGAAAGTGGCTCTTTAGAGAGCATGCGTCAAAAAAGAGAGAAAAGTTATGTGTTCACCACCCTCCCATTGTTGGAGTAGTAAAGACTAGTAAAAGACACTAGCTCCCCTCCTCCTTTCTGCCTCGATTCCTCTGCTTGTTGTCTGGTTTCTCCATCCCCCAGAGCTCAGTTGTTGCTTACTAAGAAATCCCCTGTCTGTGCTAATTGCTGACATTTTATTCATGGCAGCACTTCTCTCCATTAGCATAAGAAACTAAGAGTAGTCTACATACCTTTAACTCTGAATTACATAGCTGCAGTATAGATTAGCTGACACATTGTTTTCCAAATCCTGAGTTGGCTTCCCCACTCCACACAGTCCCTTTCTCCATGGTTCCCTTTATCTTCAGTTCCTTTGTGCCAAAGGGAACATTTGAATTTTTCTTAAAATGATCACATACTCTGAGCTGCCTTATCTCTTTAATTTCCAAAATATCTTCACAATACTTACTGTATTACTCTCAAATTACAGATAAGGAAACTGAGGCTTAGAGAGGTTAAGTAACATGTCCAAGTCACCAGCCAAGGAAATTGAATTCATATCTGATTCTTGCATCTGATTAGCCTCAAAGTGGATCATTTTAAAGCTAACGGGCTTATGTGAGCTTCACCTTCACATTATAATTCTAGTGTCTGTTTTGTACTTCGTGGTGTGGTGTTTTGGGTTTTTTATTTTGTTTTTGCTTTAAATCTAACAAACCGGACTTGCCATTTCTGGCCTTAGGTTCAGACTTGGAAAACCATCCACCACCACTCATCTTAACTTCACTTCTCCATACAAAGCAACAGCCAGCAGACCACGTCTCTGCCATGTATAATGCTGAAAGCCCCTGTGGGATTGCTATAAGTAACATGCAGGAAAATAATGGAAAGGGAAAATATTACTATTTCCATTGAGTGATATTGTTCAAATCCAAACATATAGAAATGAAATTTGTGGATATCCGACTACTCTAAAAATACACCCTATTTAGTAAGACAGTCCCTTTCCTCTAAGGGCCTCCCAAGTGCTTACTTGGCAAATATGTCTCCTCATTAACTGTGATACCATTTTCTGTGGCAGGGAAGGGAACAGCACACTTTGCCCCATTTAAAATGCAGGACTGAGGATGCACTGAGGGATTTAAGCAGGTCAGACACTGACGAGGCCGGGACTGGAATCCTCAGGGGTGGTAGGCCAAGGTGAGCAGAAAGCCACCAAATCTGCAAAGGACCATGACGGGTTCCATCCTGCTCCTCCCTTTCAGAGGGGACACACACCCATAGAAACGAAGACACTGAGAAAGCCCAGGGTTGCACAGGTAACTAAATGCCAAAACACCACTCTGTACATGCAAATACATGCAGATCTGTGCTATGAAGGGAAAGCTGACAACTGTCAAGAAACAATTTACTGCCGAAGCCGGTTTGGCTCAGTGGTAGAGCCTCGGTCTGCAGACTGAAAGGTCCCAGGTTCAATTCCGGTCAAGGGCATGTACATTGGTTGTGGGCACGTCCCCGGTAGGGGGTGTGCAAGAGGCAGCTGGTCGGTGTTTCTCTCTCATCGATGTTTCTAGCTCTCTATCTCTCTCCCTTTCTCTCTGTAAAATATCAATAAAATATATTTTTTTAAAAAAAGAAAAAAGAAACAACTTACCGGCAGATGTGAAGGGTGTGAAAGTAAAAAGCCTTCATCAGTGACCTTGCCTAGAGGAACAAGGCACTAGAAGGTAAAAGTTTCAGAGTGAAAGCTCTTTAACATAGACAAAGTTTTGACTTTCTAACAGCCAAATACCATCTGGACCTTATGAAGGCATATGTCGCATTAAAGGTGACAAGTGGGCAGGTTTTAAAAGGTAGTTGGCTGGCCTATCATGGTCTCTAAAAGTGTCCCGAGAGCACCAGGGAGGCAAAGACCAGCGTGAGCTCCAAACATGTTTGCAGCTGACAGAAACATTTCAACTAAAAATAACAGGCATGACTCTCTCCCCTAGAGTCTTTCATTTAAAAAAATAATTTAAAAAAATGTATCTATTATAAATAAACACCATGCTGAGGCAGAACTCTTCATTTAGGAATGATGCTTCTGAAATTCCCTCATTTTAGTCTGCAAGTGAAACAAATGTTTCTCTTCTAACCCTGTGGTCCTATGGATCATTCTGTCCCAACATTAAGAAAATGGGAAAGGCAATCAGAAGAGTGTTGAGAAGAGCAGGCTGCAGGCCAAAATGTTTGTGAATAAGTATAGGAAAAAGAGGGCAAAGGTCCGTGAAATTAAGAAATTTGTGGAGTAATTCCTGAACAAAACAGCCATTTCTTACGATCCTGTGCTTTGAAACGTATCCTTTTGTGTTTACAAACATGATGAAGAAGCTGTCTGGTAGGATAAATTTCCATAAAACAGATCATGAGCATAAAGCATCAGCATGGAGTCTGGCACATACTAAGCACCCAAGCATGGTGAGTGTTTTCATCGCCATTATTACTATCACACCTAAGGGAGGGAGGGGGGACACGAAAACACAAAGGTGCAAATTTTAATTGACATTAACTCAAATTTAAGACATAGATTCCCTACCATGAGGCATTGCCCAGATGTTGAAATATTACCTATAAGAACTTCAAAGCCTTTGAGGTCTTTAGGCTCGATTGTGCGAGAGTACATAGAAGGACTTACTTCTCTGAGGTGGGAAATCAGCATTGAGGTGGGAGATGGAAACACAGTAATGTAGTTCATCTCGACTGTAAAGAGCAGAGCTGAGAACAAATGGTACTAACAAGAAAAATAAGTCTCTATTTATTCAAAGAGATGTCACAGGCCTATGGACGTTTACTTATATCAGAACACCTCGTGGGCCCATTCATTGACAATATTTATACTTACCTTACTTTTTTTTTTTTTTTTTTATCAAGCTCGATAGTTGGGTTTCTTAAGTCAGCAACAAACCAAAGCAGTAAACTGAAGGGAAAGAAAAGTTCCAGCCAACAGACTGAGCGTAAAGGAGAAAACTATTTTTTAAAATTGACCCAAGAGTTCACAAAAAGCATATGGAAACATTTAATGGGCAGCGGAGAGAGGGAGGGTAGTGTTGTAATAAGAACACCGTACAAGTATTCCCACATCACCCTTGGTGGTCTGCAAAGTGATTTCACATGTTTTTTCATGTCAACACCAGCCCAGTGAGGTAAGTAGGACTGTACCTCATAGACATTGGAGGTCTGTCAGAGTGGTGGGCCATATGCTGGGGCCTGGACTGGAGCAGGACCATTTGAGAGCATCGTGTTGTTCACCACATACCCAGCCTCCACGTTGGGTGAGGCCTATCTGCAGTTCAGTGAAGTCAAGACAGAAGAGCCAATTAACTCTTAAGTTGTGTTTTAGGAAGCTTTCTGTCTAAATTAGATACACTTGACCGTGTAACTCTTCAGAATGACTTATTCCTATGTTGGCCAATATTTGCCAGACCTAACATCAAGGCATGAGCGTGTGTACTGAACAGAATACTGGGAATGGAGAGCTGAGCTACGTGTTTAGTTCCCAAAGATCGGAAAGAACCCCGTGTCTCCAAAGATCCTCCCTCTCTCTTAGTTCAAATATTTTTTTATAACTTTAATGGGAAACGCATATAAAGCCCCTCATGATGACACTGAAAATGACCCCCTTAAAGTAGCCCTTCCTTTTCTCCACAGGATGGTCTTGGAAGACTGTCAGTGGGGAATGTCTTGTAGCTTTGCAAGAAAGCCATTTCTGACACAGGGAAACAGGAAACTCTAGATTTCCCTGGCATCACCTTAAAGCAAGGTTTCTCAGCACACAAGTAGGCCAGGAAGGACGGGATCTTTCCAATCAAGAGGGATCCATTCATGAATCAGACTGTTTTTTTTAATTTTTGTTTTTGTTTTTATTTTCTGTCGTCTTGTTTTTCTGTCTCTTTCTCCCTCCCTCGCTTTGTCCCGCTCTGTTCTGCCTGCTGTCTCTTCCCACCTCCACAGGCGAGAAGCCGCACCAATGCAGCATCTGTTGGCGCTCCTTCTCCTTAAAGGATTACCTGATCAAGCACATGGTGACACACACAGGAGTGAGGGCCTACCAGTGCAGCATCTGCAACAAGCGCTTCACCCAGAAGAGCTCGCTCAACGTGCACATGCGCCTGCACCGGGGGGAGAAGTCCTATGAGTGCTACATCTGCAAAAAGAAGTTTTCCCACAAGACCCTCCTGGAGCGGCACGTGGCCCTGCACAGCGCCAGTAACGGGACCCCTCCCACGGGCACGGCCCCGGGAGCCCGCGCTGGCCCCCCGGGGGTGGTGGCCTGCACGGAGGGGACCACTTACGTCTGCTCCGTCTGCCCAGCAAAGTTTGACCAAATCGAGCAGTTCAACGACCACATGAGGATGCATGTGTCTGACGGATAAGTAATATCTTTTTCTCTTTCTTATGAACAAAACAACAACAACAAAACAAAACAAAAAAAAAGCTATGGCACTAGAATTTAAGAAATGTTTTGGTTTCATTTTTACTTTCTTGTTTTTGTTTTTGTTTCGTTTCATTTTGTACTACATGAAGAACTGTTTTTTGCCTGCTGGTACATTACATTTCCGGAGGCTCGGGTGAAGAATAGTTTTCCCGGCCTCCCTCGGATGGTGGCCTTAAGGCCTGGTAGTGCTTCAAGGGGTCCACTGGTTGGATCTCTAGCTACTGGCCTCTAAATACAACCCTTCTTTACAAAAAAAAAAAAAAAAAATCTTTTTAAAAAAAACGTTAAAAAAAATTTTTTTTTTCACTTGTGAAGAGCACTACAAAAATATATACCGAAATCTAAAAGGCCGACTGTCTTTAAGTACACCGCTTGCAGTGTTTCAGTGGACATTTTCACAATTCTGGCCACTTGGACTTCACAGTAACCAGTTAAAACTGTGGAATATCACTTCTGGTTGAAAACCCAGAGGAAAGGCCCTGCTGTTTTCCACCTACCACGTTGTCTGATTTCATAAAAAGGCTGTGGAGGTGGGAAGGGGCAGTGGGATCAGTGATGTGGGAAAGGGGAATGGCAGGCTTCTCCCCCAGATTCCGCTTGGGCCCACACACCCCGGCCCACCTCCTCCATGCCCCCCCTTTCAGCAGAAGCCAGGAAGATTTGGACAAGCATCAAGCAACAGTGGCTATCGTATTTATTCAGTGTCTTTGCTGAGCCATAGCCTCAGCACAATCAAGAGGGACTTTCATGAAAGGCAGGAATGCAGATAAAACAAAGATATCAAAGGTTTGCGCCTATGTTTCTAGGTACAAGAGAAGGATTATTTCCAACAATCTTTGCAAAAACAAAAAAACAAAAAAAAAAAGTGTCAGGATATATTCTTGTGGAAGAGAAAGAGAAATGGAGGGTGGGGGAATAATAAAAAGTTCTTGAGGCTTTTTTAATTCAAAATTTTATAGAGGGGCAAAAGTGACGTTTACCAGATAGAATGCTGATTTTTTTAATATATTTACAACAGTATTTGTGTAAAAAAACAAAACAAAAACAAGATTGTTAAAAGTAATTTTTTTTTCCATTTTGGTTTTGCATACACTGCCACCAATCCCTTCTCTTTTATTTTATTTCACACACATATATATATTTTTTGGTAAGTCAAGACTGTTAAGGTTAGCGATACTGCTTCCAGATAGAAAGATTAAAAGGCAATTAAAGTTATATTTGAAAGAGAGGAAGGATATTTTCTTCATATTTTTTTTAATTTTTCTTAATTTTTATTATTGTAAGTGTTGCCTGGGTTGATGAGGGCCTCTGTGGCCGCCCATCCCTGCTGTAATTTGAACTGCTGCTTTGTATTTTGATATGTAGTTCTTTGACTTTTAGCAAGCTTAGGTTGCTCCACTGAATTTTTTTTTTTTTTTTTCAAGTGATCCACTTAGAATTCTGTTCTTTTTCATGGGAGGGACTTTAACTTTCAGAAACAGATTTCTTGGTTCTCTAAAAGTTCATTGAGATTGAATGATTCTAGAATTTCCAGAGACTTTACTGTTTTCTTTGATGAAACACGAGTAGATTAGAGGTCTTGACAAATGGCTTCTTTCCCTTCGCCGTCAGCCTGGGGGAGGATCTCACAGAGCTCCCTGTGGCTCCTCACCCTTCACATCCACAGAGACCAGCGAGAGCAGAGCCTGTTGACAGAGCAGGAAGCCTTGATGCCAAAATTACTTTCTTCCTTTCAGATGTTACCTTCCGACCATTTCCACTGTGGTTGAGAGGGAGAAGTAAGATGATCGTTCTCTACCTGATTCATTAACCCTTGCTTTTTGGAAAGGTTTTCAAGAAAGTAGCACACTTCCCAGATGCCAATATCCATCATTCAAAGGCCACCAATCCATTGCATTGTCCTAGGTGCCACTCTCTCTTCCTAATTGGGATTTCTCTCTTCAGTCCTGATCAAGGTATTATAACAGATTTTTCTACCTATAGACAGTGTCCTTCAAGGGATTCCAACCCAACTGTAGGAATTCTTATACCTAACTAAAACGCCAAAGGTGATTACATTGCTGGGCATATTTTTAACACACTTAAGGGGGAAATTAGAACTTTAAACAAAGCAGAAACACCAAAATAGAATTGTAAAAGAGAAATAAATAGATTATTGTAGTTTCAAAATCAGTTTGCATTTAACCGATTTTTCTTTTAGCAACTTATTTTCAAAACCTGTGCAGCAAAGGAGAAGTCTTCCAAGGGAAATATCTCTGTAATGACTGAATTGGTTTTACCCATATGTTTTAGACTTTTGGTTAAATGAGATCTTTTCCATAAGTTCTTGGTGATGCTTAATAGGGTTAGTGCAGCTGGAGTATATGTGAGTGTGATTTGTTCCTGTGTCCTTCATTCAGTAAATATTTTGCTACAAGTTTTAATGTAGACTTGGATGGTTGATGGTTACATATCACCCATCATGATTTCTAAGAGGAGTACTTCCAAGAACTGTGTGTCCAAATTGACCTGTTTTAAAAGTTAGTAGAAAACAGATTTTAAAATAAGAAAAAGTCTATTTTTCTCTTGAAAACTTGGCTTTTTAGAAGAGTAATATGTAAGATTCTCATATTTCCACTTAAAACCAACAGGGGGAGCATTAGTTAACTAACCATGTCATGGAATTGTTTTGATATTTTGAAAACAAGTCATTCAACCCACAAAATAAGAAAGAAAAATTTGACATTAAGAAAAATTTTTTAATCCAGAGGGAAATGACATATTGCTCTGTATACGTTATAAACAAAAGCCAAAAGCCCCATTAAAATGTTTTTAATTATTTGACAATAGCTTTTAAAATAGTGTCCTTATTTATTTAAACCTTGGTAAAATAGACAGAATTCATAATACCTCCAGAAAAGTTGAATTTGGATGCCATTATGAGCCACAGAGTTAGCTATCTGCTTCTCAAATTCAAAGGAGACCCATTTGCCTTAATACTGATTTGCCATGTAAAAAGCTAAGCAATTGGGTTATAATCCACCGATAGTTATAGAACACGAAGGGAGAAAATTCCAGTTGGGCTTGAACACCTAATATTCATTACTTTCCTTCAAAGGAAGTATGTCTTTTTTTTGTCTTTTTTTTTTTTCCTTTACAATGTCAGAGTATCCCTAAAGAATTTTTGGTGAGGTGATGTTATCATTAGGACAGTATGGACCATCCAGGTTTGCATAGCAGAAGACTTTTTCTGCTTGATATCATGTGTGTCTATTCCTTTTAAACATCTCACAGCCGAAAGTCAGATTGTTCTCTGGAGAGAGGAAGAGGCTGGGCTGGAGGGAACAGTCTAATCTGGAAGAGCAATGAGCTTGCTGTGGAGCCATTGCCACGCGTTCTGGCCTCTGAAAGGACTGCTTTTCAAACTGACCTGCATTTTAGAAAGTAAGCCATTCATACCTCTTTCAAAAGGATAGAGATGTGTCTAGTTCGTCAACCTTTACTTTTAAATCACAAACATCTAAGAAATAGGGAAACATATTTTGCTTTGAGAATAGAGGGTGAACTTGAATCCTTTTATTTTGTGACTTCAAATCCAACAATCTTGTTGCATTTAGAACTTCATGCTAGGATGCTAAAAGTGCTAGGAATTTTTTTCCTTCAGTAGCCAGGGGAAAATAAATAGATAAAAAGGAAGCAAATGTTCCAGATTTAACACCTCTTAGGATAAGTATGGGATGAGTACAAGCACTGGTATGGAAAATAATATTTCTTAGCTATTTATGATTTTAAAACTGGGTCAGCTGAACAAGGGTAAGAAAAATGTCAAAAAGAAATATGTTTCCCAAAGCATTTAGATACAGTTTAAGAAGAATAAAATTTACAGGTACTAAAAATTTGGTAGCATCTCTGCATAGTGGACAGTTTTCCCCCTGTTAGATGCCAATATTTTGATCTCCAAGACCCCAAATGTGTAGAATATAGCCCTAAAAAGGAAGGAATTGGAACACTTGGAACTAATTGAGAAATAAGCCAGGCCAAAACAACAAAACAAACAAAAAACCTGAGATAAAACTATATCAAAATGTGTTTTTACTATGTTTTAATTGAGTTATAAATTTTAGCTCCTAATAAGACTTTCTCTTCCCCAAATTTCCAATGCTCTGAATCTGTTTGTGACTTGAGAAATGGTGGATAGTTTCCTGCTTATGTTTCAGCTGCGGATCATCCCTTCTTCCTGGGCCTCTTGGAGTGCATGATAGCTCCTGGTCTGAGAAAGAATGACTTGGATTTGCTTTGTTTAGGAGTCATAGAGATTTTATTTCGTATCATCCCAATATTCTACAAGGACCAAGAAAACCCTTTCCCAGTCTGTGAACAGTTAGAGTTTGGGCATTCTGATGTGAGCAGAGAAAAGGTTCCCTCTGGGTGATTTGTTTCCCATTATCCTAATGGCTTGAGCTACATGTACTAGTACTTTCATCCTTCAAGTACACCAACAGCATGTGCCCAGCTTCTGCCCCACATCAGTGTTTCCCCTCAGCACAGAAGTTCAAAATGAGGTGTGCTCCTTACAAATCCCTCAGGTCCCCAAGAGAACATAATAAAGGTTCATGTTGCTTCCTAGTTGTGGCTCCCATAATGCTCCCGACACCTGTTGCCCTTAGGAAAGGGGGCAATGAAATGGATCCGGCCTGGCTTCACACTAGACGTGCCCATTCTGGAACCTTCCTCTGTTGTTATAGATGTTATTTAATGAGTTGGGCCTGAGAGCAAAGGCTGTGTGAGTCTACAGCAAAGGTATTAGATAACCCATCTGCCTCTGCTACAGCCAGCGTGCTGCTGCAGCAAAAAGAAACACAGCGAAGGTGCAATGTAAGAGCAGACACAACCTGAGATGCCCTCGGGATTGAGGAGAACGGGAGAGTGCCCTTTCTGTTGTGACATGACTCTTAAAAGAAATCTCCTGAAAGAATTCTTTAATTTAGGAATGAGTTGAAGTCCTGGGTAATGGAAGCCTAGGGAAGAGAACAAAAGGATTGCAAAATGTATTCAGCATCCAATAATGCAAAACCAAAAACATCCAATCACAACACGAGGAAGTTTGGCAAGAGGTATTTAGAGAAATCTCTGGGCCTTTCCATGGGTAGGGTCAAAGCCTTTCTTTTGAGTGATTTCTGGCTCTGAGAAACCTCTTTATTCACTAGAAAAGAACTTTATTTAAATGACTGATTTTGTCCCCCAGAAAAGAAATTAAAAAAAAGAAAAATAGGACACTGAAGACAGAACCATGTGACATGGTGACAAACAAAAAGAAGGGCGCACTAGCATTTCAATAGACTCCCTAGTCCATAGAAAAAGCTAAGCAACCTAATGCCTCAGTCTGCAGTGCCTGAGGAGAGTGCTGGAGCCAGCCGACCAGACCACCGGGCTTCTGGGGCTACACACAACTTCCCAGCTGGGATGGCGACAACTCTCTCTCTGTTTTTACAAAGAAAAGGGCTGTTCTTTTAGGTGCCCAGGAAATATTACATGGAATAAATTTTCAAAAGCAATTTCTATCCTGGTACTTAGGCTGCATATGAAGGCAGAAAAGGGACACATTTGTGTTCCTTGCTTTAGAGAAAGAATATCTTCATATCCCCAAGGGCTCTCTGTGTAGAGCTGCCAGTTCTGAACCAGCTTAAGCCTCCCCGGGAGGAGAAGCTGTGATGACCCAGTAAACATAGACCCTGGAAATTACTAACCAAAGCATCATTTCTAGCACTAGGTATTAAGAGGATCAGCCTGACCAAAATACTCCAAAGATTTCTCTAAGCCTCTGGAGACTTTTTCTCCTTGGACACTAAATCCATAGTGGTCAGTGGTGTGCATTCACAGATCCCAGAAAATGGCACAGGTTCTTTTTCAGAACCAGGTTGAAACCAGAAACATCATCTTTTCACACCACTGACTGAAACACCTGGATTCCAGGGTTTCTTCGGGCCCAGCCTCCTGTTCCATAAAAACTGAATACTTTCAGACTAAAATCTAATCTGAAGTGACCTCAGCTGAGGTATTTTTCACTCGAAGCCACTTGTAGTAAAGAAAAATTGCCTTAAATCAGAAAGCCCAGGGGAGAGGACAGAAGAGAGAAATTGGAAGGGTGCGGAGACATGGACTGTTCTTGGTTTTTAGTAGCTGCATTATCACAAAAATGAGCCCTATTTCTGACTGGAAACTATGTTTGGGGGAAGGCAACAAACTTGTCCGAACTGACTACTCCCAGGAAGTGGCTATTTCCTATCCTATTTCTGTGACATAGATCTGGCCAGGTGTGAAATAGACATCATATTATCTAACTAGTGAATTGCCTAAGACAGGATCACAAGTGTCTAGAATTCCATTTTTAATCATTTTCTTAACGGAGAACAATCTCAACAAAATATTTCTTTCCTCTTTTTTTCTCGGTTTTAGTGAGCATCTGGTTTATCTGACGGTTCTTTGTTAAATGCAAACTCACAACTTTCAAGTCTTCAATGAAGGAGCCTAATCTGAGATCATAGGAAAAATCTAGCCACAACCATGGGAGTCCTGGGTTTTGAAATACCTAATTAGGGTGCAAAAAGTCCCTACTAATCCTCGTTCAAATTCGGAGGTTTTCTTCATTCAAAATGCCTCAATGAGATCCTAATACACCCAAGATAAAAAAATAAAAAAAATTTTTTTTACCTCATAGTTGACATCTGTTTCTACTACTGTTGCAACAGAAGTTTGTTACTTCCCAGCAAAATCAGTGCAATTTATATGTAGATTCTAGTAATGAAAGGGACTTAACCCAACCAGCATGTCAGCTGCTGTCCAAAATGTGCAAATAAGTGTACATTATGCATGTACACACCACCCAGCATGGGATGCTCCGGGCACAGAAGCCTTCCAAATTCATATTCCCCGACGACAAGATGGGTTCTGGAACTTCTAGTCAATCAAGAGTCTCAATGTCTGTTTCTGCTCTCTCGCCTTAATCGGGTGTATCTGTGCCGTCCGCTGTCTGTGGTGAGGCTTTGGGGCGTTCTGCAGGAGCCCCAACTGGGAGTCATTTCTAGGACCCCCTTCCCTGAAAACTTGAAGGTACTTGTGTGGAGCGGGGGTGTGCTTAACCATCTCTGCACTTCTGTGGGATTTACTGACACGTGTGTGTGAGCGTGTGTATATCTGTAGTCTGGGCGAGTGTATGTGACTCCCACGGAGCACACACAGCAGCAGGTCCTGTGCACAGATATTCAGTTGCTTCTCCCCACCGTCGCGCTCCAGACTTGTGGCTCCCTTCCCAGGAAGCAGTCACCTGCCCACTCTGTTGCTTTTTGTAGCGTTTCAGAATTGGGAGAAACAAGGCAGCTTGTTGGATCCACAGCAAACCCACAGTGACAGGCTGTTTTCCTCCAGAAGAAGGTGGAACAGAAGTGCTCCCCTGGTGAGGAGAGGGGAGGGAGCAGCCGTCTGGGGCTCCTGCCTAGGCCTGGGAGGAAGGGGCACAGAGGCCACGCAGGCAAGGCCCACACAGGTCTGGGCCTAAGCCTTTCCAGGCTTTTCCTCTCTGCAACCCAGTGTGTGCACACAAACACCCAGCCACTCACAAGTTTTACTCCCAAACTAAAGCTTCCTAATCCTGTCTGCATCTGCAGGACACCATTAACTGTGTCTCCTGACACCAGAGTGGCCTTTGCTGACGTTTTTCCAGGAGTGGCTTGTTTACCATGCCTGCAAACCAATGGACTCTCGGGGGAATACTTTTTGGTAATCGCTTAGAATCGATGGCTCTTGCCTGTCTCAGACATTCAAGTGGGCACTGTTCTGAGTAAATGGGCCTGGCTCTCGGAGCTGACTTTAAAGGTGGCCTGGAAACAGATTCAATGTCTTTACTCCCATGTCCTTCTTTTATAGGTCGTTTGTTCTTTTTTTATGACATGTAGATTATTTCTGCTAATTTACAGAATTCTGAGGACATTTTCTTTCCTCTTCTATTTTGGTGACTTTCCCCTCTCCCGTTAAGTAAGGCTACTACTTACAGTTGCAATTTTTTCCTTGTTACTATTTTTTAAATGTATATTGTCTTTCTATATTCAAAATAAGTCTGTGACTATAACCATAGGTATTTCTTTTTACTGGAAAAAAAAAGGTGTGTTTTTTTTTTTAATTAATAGTACTAGTGACTTTGTGGAAGAATATGAGTTACTTTTAAAGTATGCTTACTTAAGTACAGTACACTACATTGCAGTATTTCTGAAAGCTAGAAGATACACATTATATATATCAACTCTATATTGAAATATATGTTACATTATATTCATTTTAACTTTTGAATCTGCCTATGATCATGAGTTGATTGAAATATTATTTCTTTGCATTTATCACCCATCACCAACCTGCCGCAGTTAATCTGGTGCATTTCATAATAATCATTACTGCTCTAGTTTGCTTTTTATATTATCAGCTTCAGTATTGTCTTTACAGGATTTTAGGATTTTTTTAAGCTCAGACTTAGCAAATGTAGGAAAGTGAAAACTTTTTATAAAAAAATTTTTTTTTGGTGTGACTGATACAAAGAGGTTCACAGTGTAAGTGATCTTGTTTTGCTGACCCTCTCAATATCTAAAGAACAAAAGAAAGTGCATATGAATGTATCTGTGATTTTCCCCTCTAGGACTGTCACTGACTGTATTTGCTTTTAAAAATATGACCAAGCACCTGCTTACCCTCCATGTGACCTGACCAACAATTACAGGCTGCTTTTCAAAGGGCTGCTCATCTGAGAAGCATCCGGCAGTGAAATGCCTAGTTTTTCCAGCTCTATTTCAAACATTGATTTTTAAGATTGGTTCTGTACTGACAGCTTCCTGTTTTCAGTATGCTTACCATTGTTTTAACTAGTCTTTAATGCTTCCCTGGAGGCAGCTTGGCAGTAAAATATTCATTTCCCTAGGAGATTTAAAAAAAAATAATAATACCAGAGTTTGAGGAACTTTTCATGACAGAGACTAATATAAGTAGAACTTGAAAAGTTTTGCACAATTTTTTTAGTCTGCAGAATCAATAAAATAAATGGTGGCTCTTGGGTACCTGGCCCTCATGTCTATTGAGATGGGAACTTGGTTCCTTCTAATGTAACCAGGCCATCTTGGGAACTTCAGAAATCAGGCATCTTGTCTTCCTAACAAGAAATATTGTCAAATATTATTTTCAGAAAAGGAGCTTTTTCAACTTCCCTCAGCTATTTAAACCAATGCCTGGAAAACTTCACAGTTGGATAAACTTTACATCCATCGTGGGTGCCTGAAACCAGCCTCACTCTCTTCATTCTATATTCAGGACAAAATAAAAACAGCTGTTCACAGTACTCAGCGTGAAAGCCCTTCCCACACTGGACCAATAGTAAGGCTTTTTTTTTTTTTTCTTCAGTGTGAATAACGCCAATTTCTTCCTTTCATCTTCTCTGATACGTTTTTATTTTCAAATCCCATCCTGTTCTGCTGTGCCCCTCCAACAAGTTCGCCCCCACCTTTTTATCGAGGCTCCCCTCCATGCCCTCTGCTTCTGAAGCCTGCTATCATTAAGGAACTACCTACTCTAACCACTTTGTAGGGCCAGCATTGAGTTTAATAGCAAAATTATTCATCGGCCTCTCCACATTTTTCAACTAAATATATTTCTGCTAGGCAAACATAATTGTAAATTAAGAGGGAAGCTGCTCCTTTTCCAATGATCACATAATACCCGAATTATGTCAACTTTATTATTTCCCTCACCCTTTCTCTTTATTTCTTGGTTCTCTTTAAGACTGCTTTAAATTACCTCTTCATGTTAGTACCACCCCAGGAACTCTATAATTAGGACCCCTGCGTGCCCATTTCCCTTCCTTGCCCCAACTCCATTGTGAACGTCCTTTAAGCTGTAGGTGTTTAAAGAGCATTGACGTAAGCTCATTTACTTGAGACTGGCAGGCAGAATGAGGCAAGTCTGCACTGTACCTTGTCATTCTAAAAGTTATCAATATTCTTTGGAGAGTAGGAGGACCTGACTCACAGTTTGAAATGTCATCTGCACTAGCTGAGGTCATTAATTCCTCTCACCTTCACATTTGGCCTAAGATACAGAGAAAAATATTTTCTGGTGTTTTTTTTTTTTTTTTTTCTTTTCTTTAAATACCACAGTGTTCAAATTCCTGATATGAGTAGACTATCTCTGAGGGAGGGAAAAAAATGTTAACCATTTCATTACCTGCCAAGTGTCAAATTACCAGATATTAGATTTACAGAAATCGAGCAAAAGGGGTGACATTTCAAAGTAATTTTGGCAACTGCTCAAGCCTTAAATGAGTGAGCTCTTCTAAAACAAGTAAAGCCACTGCCATTCAAACACATTGGAGGAGACAATCGGGAAGAACTTTTGTCATTTGTTATCTTTTGGAGAAACATAATTATTAATTTATTTAGAATTACTAAGAAATTAAAAGATTCAAAAAGTTTCCACAATATTTTGCAACCAGCTATTTTTAAACATAAATTTAATATATGTTTAAGTAAAATAAGGCTGACTAGATACTTGAAGGACCATGTAATACACACCCCAATTCCCAAACAGTCACTATATAATTGGGTCATCGTACTACATCTCATTTCAGTGAGCTACAATTGCCTGCTCGCTGGAGCATTGCCCACAGGACGGATGCTGTTCAGGGTCTGCCCCGGTGCAGGATGTTTAGAACGCAATCTTACAGCAGCTCCAACACATTGTTTCCTGACTCCCAGTCCGACACTCTTCCCATGATGCTACATTGCCTCTCCGCTCTAATGAAGACACATTCTGTGACATTTAAAGTGTTGCCTGGTTTTTAGTGCACAGGGGTGTGCATTCATTCCTGTTTTACCCATTGACAGAGTCAACATTTAATATTAGAAATGGAGTCTTAATTGGACTTGAGGCTTACCTCAGCATTTTTCTTAAACCAGTATGTAGCATCAGCTCACACCACAGAGAGCAATGCAATAATGAGAACATTCAAAAGCTTCCCAAGTTGCATAACTAGTAGGAAACCAACCTTTCCTTAAAGCCAGGCTGGATGGAGCTTAGAACCGTGATCATCACTTGGCATGTTTCCCAACAGGTCCTCTCTTCTCTGCTCTTGTCCATTTTAACCCCTGCATCTCTTTTTTTTTTTTTTTTTAAGTACTCTGCATCTAAAGTGCTCATCTCCCCAAGCACTGGCTATTAGCAGCCTAAACACTGTCATTTCAAGTACAGTGTGGAGTAGGAGGGGATCTGGTTCTGATAGGTGTCAGGTGGTCCAAGTAATGAGAAAGATTTCTCCAGGAGGCTTTCTTGGCATCATTCCTTCTACTCCCACAAGAAGAGTTCCAACCCTGACACGGGTTTCTCACCACAATCTGCATTGGTCTAGAGCTGTGGTCAGCAAGCTCATTAGTCAGCAGAGCCAAATATCAACAGTACAACGATTGCAGTTTCTTTTGAGAGCCAAATTTTTAAACTTAAATTTTTTCTAATGCCACTTCTTCAAAATAGACTCGCCCAGGCCGTGGTATTTTGTGGAAGAGCCACACTCAAGAGGCCAAAGAGCCACATGTGGCTCGAGAGCCGCAGTTTGCCGACCTTGGGTCTAGAGTAATTTCCAAATTCTGTTTCATATTCTAGAGACTCCAGGGTGTGGATTTCTTACTGCTAAGAGCCTCCTGCTTTTCTAAGCTGCCCCCTGCCAGGAGCACCAATAGCCTTCACAGTATCTACTGCAGCAAAATCATGGTCAGAAATATTACAAAATGTATTTGGGAGGATAGGAAGGGATTTCTTTCTATCTTCCCCCATTAAAAGCTTGCTTCCTTCCCCAAATCCCACCACAATGCATTTCAGAAAGTCTGCATTTCATTTTACAGGTCTGTAGTTTTAGTATTTACCAGTATAGCTTAGGAAATGTTCTGAGATTGAGGCTGGTAGCAAACCAGTTTATTTTCTGCACTGGACTTTAGGGCACGTGTGACAGGTGCAATTCCTTCAAAGAAAGTGAAACTAACATAGTCAAGCCAAGGGAAGATACTTTTACACATTAAAACAGTTGTCTGCTATCTATAAACCTTGATTGAAGCATAATTATTATTATTATTTTTTTAGAAACCTGAAACTGGAGGGTTGTGTATTTTCATAAAGCTTGTTTGTTAATTTATTTGTTTCCCTTTGTTTCTTTCTTCTCAAGATTGTAAAGGATGTTTGATTCTTTAACTTGGTGGTGTAGGCAACAGTCGGATACCTGAGAGCCCTGCCACCTCCTTTGCCTCTAAGAATGAAAAGCCTTCCATCTGCCAGTGAGGAGTCTTTCTCATGAAAACCTTCTCTTCCTTTTCTAGTAGCACTTGAGAGTCTTGTGAGAGAAATTGTCTCTGCACCTTGAGAATAGAATAGTTAAAACGATTCCCTGAGAAAGAAACCCCATTTAACCTAAACTGATAGGTCTTGGGCCAAAGAATAGGAGTTGATTGCAGGTGAAAGTCATGTATTTTACACTACAAATCCTTATTGTCCCCTCAAATCTTAGAAATGCAGCTGGGAATAAGTTAATTTAATGAAAATTTTCGTTGGGCATTTCTTATCGCTATCTAGTGATGAATAC